CTTGAGCCCCTGATATCAGCTCCCCATTTCTTCCCCCTCCCTCCCTCATGAACCCTTGATAAGTTATAGATTATTTTTTCCATATCTTACATCGTCCATTCTTATGTTTATCCTTAATATGAGAAAGTAGCATGTGCCTTAAGCTACAGGCTCCTTTGTGTAGATCCATCTCCTTCAACTGTCAAAAACCAACATGGGAAATATAGAGTGGACCGGTGTAGGTGTTTTTTAAAAAACAAACACACTCATGAGTAATCCTACAGAAGCACCGAATCAGAGAGGCCAACGTAGGTGGGAAAGGGTACAGGGCATTCATTTACTTTCCTAGACTTTTATTCAAGGTTCTTATCATGATCATGTCATTCTGCTGCTGGTGGTTGTAGTTATTAATGAAAACACTGGTGATGTCGGATATACAAGGCGTTTGTGTTGAACCACTGAGCTCATCCATGCTGCCGGGCTGGAAGGCAGGTTTGAAATACCTTGAGGTGAACCTGGGGAGCAGTGAGCCTGACCTGTGAGCATCGGGGAGCTGAGTGGGCTGGGGACAGATCATCAGGAAAAAGAGGAAATGGGGAGAAAAAATGGGGCAGGAAGGCCCAACAGCATTTATTGTGGTGATCACATAAATTCAGTTCAATCTAAAAATATAAATAAATAAATACTTTTGAAAAATAAATTGTATGACTGGGCTTCTTAGGAAAAATTATAAAGGGAGTTTCGTGTTCTGCTTCACCATAGACAGATACGGTAAGGAGACGGCAGCTACCCTGGTTATGTTGACCTCCAACTGGATGTAAGACCACATCTAAGCCCCACAGATAAAGACATGGGTCCTTTCTTGAGCAAAACATCCAGCAGAGGTGAAAAACATGGGCGATGAATCCCTCTCGTAGGAAATAGAATTCTGGATAAGGAGTTGATTCTGTGTTTTAAATATCTCTCAAATCCAAATCCTGTTTCTATTTCCTGTAGGAAATAGGTGGCCTTTAACTCTAAGTTGTTTCTCATAGCCAACATTTACCAATGTCACCTTTTCTAGTAGAAATACATTTCTGACTAACCTGGATCCCCCTTTACTCCCACCCACTTCTTTCAGGTTGCCAACGAATAGTTTCATTTCCTCTGCGATTATTTTCCTCATCAGACCTCGTTCCCCCAAACCGTGAATTGATATCCTTCTTGTGTGACCCAGTCTCCCTTTGTCACAGCAGTCTCCACACTGCAATGTATTTGCGTTTTCTAATCTGAAGCCCTCATTGGGCAGCAAGTTCTAGCCAGTAAGAACAGTATCTACACTGCTGTGTGGACACGATTTGATGTTTACTCTGTACTCAAATATTTGACTGCATGAATCAGTAGATGCTATGGGAGTAGGTTGAAGGTGTGGAAACATTTAAGTTGGAGCATGATGGATTGGTAAGATGTAGCTATTGGCACATTAGACTTTTAATTCATAGACTCATGTGTAGGAATTAGCAAATAGTTATATTTGATTAGCGTACAGAGCAAGAGTTGGCAAATGTCAGCATGTAAATTATATCTGTTTCAAACGAAGATTTCATTGTAACACGACTATGCTCTGTCATTGATATAGTGTCTAAGGCTTCTTTCACATTAAATCACCAAAACTCAAAACCCCCAAATTTTACTCTATTTAACAGAAGAGTTAAATAGAGGATAAGAAAGGGAGAGTGGTAGAAAGCAAAATCTGGAAAGTCGGTAGGAGCTTGTGCTGAACTTTTCAGAATAAACCATAAGTTCTTTCATTGAATATTCTATCGACACAAAGGACTGGCAAGCATTGATGCAACGGCAGTGAGTTGAGAGCATGTGGTGATGCAGTGGGTTAAGCATTGCGCCGCCAACCACGACCAATGGACAGCTGTTCCTCTGATGCTGTAGCTGTCATCTGGATCTAGAAGGTTCACTGCACAGGGTCAAGAGGACATGTTCCACTCCTGGCTCTTGCTAGTAATGAGATTCCCCTCCTGCTTCTCAGGGAGCTCATTCTATACCCAGCAGGCTGGCACTTCTTACTCACAGGCAAATGCTATCGGTATTGATCCTTCTTACCCATACAGGAAAAGGTTGCTTGGTGGAAGTTAAAGACTTTGCCTAGAAGAACCACACTAGATAATGCACCGCCCCTGAAGATGCTCTGGGATAAATAGGCATCTCTCTCCGACCACAGAAGGAGAAATATTACCCTGCACCTTATGGATCAGCTCCGGACCACCTTTGGTTCAGCCATATTTTGTTCATCAAAGTTTGCACTCATCGCTGAGCGTCAGTTCATTTACTAAGGTCTGTGGACTCATCAGTCCTCCATGCTCTCCCCCAACTCCCTGCTCCCTAGAAACAACCTCTTTTAACGCATGCTTCCTACTGGTCTTCATCCACCCACCGCTATTAGCTTTTTACCATATGTCCTTTCAGTGTGTTTATCTGTGTGTGTATTATGGTTACATACGAGGGGGTACCCCCCCAAAACAGAAAAAAGCTCTGCTGGATGGGGCTTTCGTAGTACGCAATTTTCCCACTAGATGAGCATCAAGTAGCTCGCTCTGAGACAGTGCACCCAGTGGCATCTCCTGGGAAGGTTCTTTCTGGTCACAGTGAATTTTTTCTTGAAAGCAGTTTCATTCAAACTTCACTTTTTGTGAGGGCCGATTTAAGAGAACAGCATGCGGCTGTGATATTTTGTTTCCTGCTCTGGAAAAATGCCACAGAAACTGTTGTGATGGTGAACACAGCTTACAAGGACAGCGCTATGGGGAAAAGTCAAGTGTACAAGTGGTTTTCTCATTCCAAAAAAGGTGAAATGTCAATTGATGACAAGCCTCGTTCTGGATGTCCATCAACTTCCTGAATGGACGAAAATGTCGACTTGGAGTGCATTTGGAGTTCATTCCACCAGGTCAGACTGTTAATCAAGCTTTCTATTTAGAGGTTCTGAAAAGATTGGGTAACAGTGTGCAACACAAATGGCCAGATGGGGGAATGGTTTTGCCACCATGATAATGCACCTGCTCACGCAGCCTTCTCAGTGCACCGATTGGGGCAAAAAACAGCATGCCTCTCTTGCCTCACACACCTTACTCAGCTGACCTCATTCCATGCGACTTCTTTTTGTTTCTGTGAATGAAGAGGGACATGAAAGGACAGTGATTTGATGACATAGAATAGGCAAAGAAAAAACTGAGGAAGGTGCTGTCAGCCATCCAGATGAGTTTAAAAAATGTTTCCAAGAATGGAATCGCAGATTTGACAAATGTATTAAGTGCAATGGAGAGTATTTTGAAGGTGCTAAGGTCGTTTTGTAAAAAAAAAAACAACTAAATACATAGCTTTGAAAAAATTTTCTGGTTTATTTTGGGTACCCCCTTGTATATTGAAATAAGCATTATTTTTTTCTATATGCATTTTTTCAATTAGCCATTATTTGAAAATGCCATTGAAATGTCTGATAATCATACTCAGGTTGCATTTGGTCATTTCTTGTTTTGTTTGTATGTTCTGTTGCTACCATCAATATGAATATATTTAACATATCTGTGTGTGTGAGCATTTCTGTAAATAAAATGCATTTTCTTACCACCTTGGTTCTTTTCTGTGGTTACTCATTGTCTCGGCTTTATTTGCTCACCTGGTTTCCTGTGTCGTCCCCTGGCATTCTCTCATGCAGACTGATTGTTCACCGCACAGCCGACAGCCCAGGGATGGCACCTTGGGGTCTGGAAGCGCATAGCCTTGTGGCTGGGGAAAGGCTCTTGTGTTATTTTATTCACTTACTTGTTTACCGTCTGTTTCCTCTGGTTTCTCTTTCTGTACTCTCCTTACTCAGTTTTGGACCTCTGAAACATACTCTCTAACTTTCTTCTTTTTCTATTCAGTGTTCTGTTTTCATCTTTTTTTACTTCTTATACTTTTCTAGCTTCTCGACATTATCTTCTAGGTTGTTTTTTAATTCCTGCCATACGCATGAATTTCTATGAGTTCTTTCTGTTCTCTAGTGGTTTGGGTTTTGTGTTGCCAATAGCATCAGAGTCTCATTTCTGGATGTCATCTCTCCTCTTATCTCTCCAACGGTTTGTATGATGATAATCTCTTTTCAATATTTTTCACTCTAAGAGTAGGTTCATAGACGTGCTTGTTCCCCTCTCTTTGTTTGGACATGTCCTTTATGGTGTAGGTCTTTATCAGATGCTTTGTAATCATTAGCTGTCTGCACACATTTGAGAGCTGGACGTTAAGAAACAGCATGCACTGCTGGAGCATGTTGAGATCTTCACTTCCAGCATGGTCTTGCTGAGCTATTCGGTTGGGCAGCCATTGATGTCAGCCCTTTGGCCTCTTGGACCACGCAGACATTCGCACCTTTTCTTGTCTCCCACAGTCTCTTGTCTAAAGGGCATCAAGCTGCCTTTTAAAAATGTATTCCTCCTGTTTTCAGCTCTGCCTGATGTCCCCCAGTTCAACATCTCTTTTGATCTTCTTTAAAGATAAATGCCTCCTTTTATGCCAGACGATCGAATTGCTTCTGATGGAGACTTACAACCACTTCGGATAGACAGGTACCTTCACGTAGGTACCGTCAAGTTGACAGGAAATCTAACCACCACATCTGTGAACTTCCAAATGTTGGTGCTGTCCTCGCGTTTCCTTTTATTTTTCTCCTTGAGATTGATGCTTTTTTTTTTTTTAAGGAAAAATAACAATAAAACTTTTTATTGGTTAGTGAGGTTTCTAAAGAGAGAGGAGATAAATCTGTGAGTGCCAGCCAGGATGTTTAACCAGGAATTCCCCCCATTCTTACTGTGATGGGAAAAACAAGCATATCTAGCAGTGCTTTCAACAGTAAGTTGACTCAGCTTTCCAAGGATGTGCTGAAGGAGAATTGTTTTTTTGTCATTGACTCACAGGTAGTGGCTTCTGAGGTCTTTTATTTGCTCTGCCTTTTTTATAGTTTTAATGCAGGTAAAATGGGGAGGGACGTTATGATTCAGGTTTGTCCATGGGACACCCTGGATGGCGGGCTGTTTCTAAGAAGGACATTTTAGAGTGTCGTCTACACTAGACTCTGTATTTCTCACTGTGTGTGTGTGCATGTGCGTGCATGTGTGTTTTCCACCTCAGTGAAACCATTATTTCATCTCTTCCATTTCCAACCCCCAAACCCGTCCCATAGGATGACGAGAGCTTGAAGCATCTCACGCACGAGGAAAAGGATGTGCTCCTGTTTTTTGAAGAAACGATCGATTCCCTGGAAGAGGACTTCGGGGAGGAAGGGCTATGTGACAGTGGGATACACTGCCACTCTCCGAGGTCCCTGGAGGAGACCACGTCCAGTCACTCTGAGCCAGAAGATGTCATCGATTTGGTGCAGCCAGTGCCTGCAGCTGGGGCGCTTGGGTGCCCCCCGGATGCCACTCGGGCAGCAGGTGAGGGGGGCAGTCTGAATCCTAGACCTGTGACAAAGAGACCTGCATTGTTGTTGTTGTTGTCTTCCCCTGCCTCGGCCGGTCCAGAGCATTTGAGGCTTATCAGGGTTTTCTATGTAGGATCCTCTTGGTAACATGATTCTCTAGCTAAGAAAATGCATGAAGGGAAATCCCAAAAGGCTTGTCAAATAAAGAATAAGACTAAGATGCTTCACAAATAGATTATAGACTTTTAAAACAGGCAGCTGGTAGTCACTTTCGGGTAACAATTCTCTCCTGCAAAGAACATCAGAGGCCCTTAGATTTTAGCCATTGGGGTTTTACCTAAGTTTTTCTGCAATGTTACATCCCTGTGGTAGGCCAGGTTGACTAAGAAACAAATCCAGTAACACTCATAGATGAGTAAGAGAGAGCTTTATATCAAGAAGTAATTATGTAGCAAGCAAGCATCCTTGCCCAGTCCAGATCAAGTCCATAAGTCTGTTACTAGGCCATGAATCCCTCTTCAGACTCACACAGCCACAGGCAATGATGCAAAGCGCAGGGTGATCACAGGCCATTGCTACAGAGCCCGTGGCAGTGGCCACATCACAGATTTCAGCATGGCTTGTCAACAGGAAGACAAAGGCAGAGAGAGGTGGGCCGGCTTCCAGAGAGCCATTTCTCTCTGGCGCATCTCCAAAGGAGATCATCAGTCTGTGACCTGACAGGCTCAACTCCATCCACATCTTACGGTGCCATGTTGGCACAAAAAACTTACCTCTCACACCCCCATTTCTGTATCATGACCTTCCAAGGAGGGAGTAACTGAATAGAAAAGAGCTGATTCAGGAAAATAGAGGTGTGTGTGTGTAAGGGCGGGAGGTGTGGTCAGAACACAAAGTTGGCTCAGCTACTACTTTTGTGTAGTTCGCCCAACTCCTAGTGGCACCAAAGGAGACGTGTGCCAGTCCTGTGATAGCGCGAGAGGGAAATGAGCAAAGAGAACCATTTCTTCCAACTTTCTTCTGGTTGGAACTAGATGTGGACAAGGGAATGGGGATTGAGAAAGGACAAGGGAAACACAGCTGTGCTGAACTAAAATGTAAACCCAGAAAACCAAGCTCACTGCCGTCCGTTCAATTCCAACACACAGTGACCCAGAGCTTTATGGGAGCAGACAACCTCGTCTTTGTCCTATGGCGTGGCTGGTGCGTTTGAACCACTGGCCTTGCAGTTGGCAGTACTATGTTTACACAGACATAGAATACTGATTATAATAAACCTCTAGAAGTGTGTAGGGGGTGGGTGGAGCCATGGTGGTGCTGTGGGCTAGGCGTTAGGCTGCTGACTAAATGGCTAGCAGTTCAAACCCTCCAGAGTCTTTATAGGAGAAAGATGAGGCTGCATAGTCCCTAAAAGATTTGCTGTCTCCAGAACCCTATGCAGGGTCTGAATCAACCCAGTGGCAGTGGGTTTGATTTTTTTTTTTTAATCTGTCTACCTAGACTTTTTAAGCAGTGTGTGCTACTCAGAACTTCGCAGGTGTGCCAAGCGCAAAGCTTGGTGTGCAGCTCTGTCTTTCTTCAAAGAAGATGCTCAATACGCATTTCTCTTTCATTCCTAAAATTAATTTGAGCCAATTTACTCTTTTAAAATGCCAGATCATGACCGTGCCAAAGAACACACTCTCTGAGAAGAAGTCACTCCCAGCCATCAGTTCTCGGACAAGGTGTTTTGATAACATATTGCTAAGCGCCTCGTTTGTGGCGCCTGGTGGAAGGTCCAGGAAATACGGTGTGCAGTTTTAGAGTGGGAGAGAGGCGTGTGTGTGCGTACAGAAGGAGAGTCAGGTCCAGAAAAGGTTAGGTGGCCTGGGACAGACACATGTTAAGAAATCAAAACGCAACTCATTGGCCGTGGACCATGCTGACTCAGAGGGACCCCTCTGACAGAGGCGCACTGCCCCATCTGTTTCCTGCTGCTGACCTTGCAGTTAGCAGCCCAGCGCGTGACCACGATGCCACCAGGGCTTTAGGAAAGGCTCAGAGACGAGCCTATGCAATTCCACCTGGGGCTGTCAGGAAACCCTCTGTTTCCTAGAACAGGGGGACGCTTCTCAATATGCTCCATCTAGAAAGACCTGGTCGAGGTGTTGGCACGTGCCAAGCAATGTTCCAACCTGTGTCCCCTTCTGTAAGGTCCCCTGGTGAGGCCACTGTGCCACACCGCAGGAGAGTGGGTCCTTAGAAGCCTCCCTTCCCGATCGGCTTCCTCAGTACGGCCCTTTTCCGCTGGCCCGGCTCTCACCATCCGGCTCTATTGCCCTCGCCTGTGGCCGGGAGAGCCACCGACATGGCTCCACCTTTGGGGGCGCAGGGAGCGGGAGGGAGGCACGGGAGGTGCTGTTGAAGATGCTGTCGAGTCCCCGTGGATTCCGTGCGGTGCATTTACTTTTACAAGCCTGGGTCACTGACCGGAATTCGCTTTTTTCAGAAGCCGAACCTGTCGGACAGGAAGATGCGCCCGTGCTGGAAGGCAGGAGGCAAAATGCCGGGAATTCTGCACTGCCAGACTCCACCGTTCCAGACACCCTGCCCACGCCGCCTTCCCCGCCTGCCACCCCCACCCCAGCCCGCCCCAAGAAAGAGCTGCTGTCTCCATCCCCGCCTGCAGAGCACCCCAAACTGCCCCGCTCCGTGCCCACGCCTCTGGTCCTCGCTCAGAAGATTTCTGAGAAGCTGGGGGGCAAGGACGCACTCTCGCCCACGAGCCCCTCGAGGGAGGGCCGCCCTGGAGAATGGGGCCCACTGACTTCGCCAGCCTCGCCCACGGGCGACCGCTTCCGCTGGTGCAGCCGACACCTGACGCAGCCTGCACCCAAGATCCACCGCTTCCCCAGCAACATCAGCATGACCAACAGCTCGGGGAAGGAATTCAATAAGACCATCTCCAAAGCGGCTGTCAACGTCCAGGAGCGCAAGGCCCAGGTCTTAGCCAACATCAACGGAGTCTCCTTCCTCACCGCGGGGGAAACGGGAGATCGGGCACATAGGGGTGACTCCACGGAGCCGAGGAGAAGCCTCTCTCCCGAGCGGGTGACAAGTGACCAAAGCAAGCCAGGCCCGGCCAAGGCAGCGGTATGCCCAGGGACAGGAGGGCAGCCCGGCAGCCAACGGTCCAAAGGCGTGCAGACAGAAATGTCCCCGGTGTTGGCCAACGGCTTCCCAAGCATCCACGACCTCCTCAAGGGTGACCCCAGCCCCTTTGTCTCTGCTGGAAAGACTATCACCATCCGCCCGGACAAAGTGCTGCCCAACAAGCTGGCCCGCCAGAATGCCACCAAGAGCTTTTATGAACACCGCCAGCCGGACTGTGGCCCGGAAGGTAGGAAGCGGGCAGGTTCCCTCCCCAGAGCCGTGGGCTTCAGACCCCAAGGCATCACTGTGCAGTTCTCTGGCCGAGGCTCCACAGAAGAAGCCCGGCGCGAGGCCCTGCGGAAGCTGGGCCTCCTGAAGGAGGACTTGTAATGGGGCGATGGGAGGGCTGCTGGAAGAGGCAGCGTGGCTCAAGGGCACTCCCCCCCCTCCCTCGCGCCCTGCAAAGAGGCGGAAGGAGTGCATTTGGCCTGAAATGGGCATAACCGACCGGAAGAACAGCCATCACCTTCCCGAGGACTGTGCCATGCTGAGGAGTAGAGCTGAGAGACACCAGGACTCTGTGTGGGCTCAGAGTAAAGACACGGAAATGCTGCCTTCCCCACCCACCCACCCACCCACACACATCTGAACAGGAGCCCTGTGTCTTCTAGTACTACAGTCTCCAAGAACCCAGAGAGAATCCCCTTCAAGTCTGTGAGCACCTCTCATCGGTCAGCGCCCCATGGTTGTGGGTTGGCGAGGAGGGCAGTTGGGAGGGGCTCATGAGCCCCTGGTCCAGCTGCTTATTCCAAGTACCCAACATGGAAGCCGGTGTAGATCTCTTACTGCCCCCCGTTCTCTAAGAAAGGGATTTCCCCACTCCTTTTCTAAGAAAATAAAAAGCAATGCTCCTTAAATTTCCATGGTGTTTTAATATAAGTTTTTGTTTCTGAAAGGCGAAGAAAGGTGCGTTAGCCCTAGATAAGTTTTGGTTTGGTTTCTTGGGATTTTTTTTTTTAATATATAAGATTTTGTTTGAATCATTTTTTCCTTTTGGAAATTGAAATGCAACCTTCAGAATATGAGCTGTTATCATTTTTGGTGATACAGGCTGAGTGTGGGAAAGGTGGTCATTATAAAAAAACAAGAGCCATCGGTTTGTGGGGTCTGCATCACTGGGATATGAGTGTGCGTGTTGTGTATGTATATGTGTGTGTGAATATTATGCATCTATAGAGACATGTTAACATATACACACATGGGTATTATGTTAGGCAGGATTGGCTCAGTAAACCTAACCATCACAGATATAATCCGTGTGCATCGACACATTTATTGAAACACATAAACTTCTTAAAACCCCACAGGATGTAAAAACTTCCTAATTCTCTTGATAGACACGGCCCACTTGGCACTGTGATGGATGACCAGGAAAGTGCTCCTGCCAAGCATGGAAGGGCCTGGATGGGCCTATCGCTGCTCTCTCCTCCACACTGCGCAACTCTGCTCCCAGTTAGGACAAGGTTCCTTTTTTGCATGAAGAATCTTTTCAAAGGTTCATCTCTTCTGATCTATTATTACCTTATTCTAGTTTTGCATGTGCCAAGATAGCCAGTCACCAGGAGGAAACAAAAGATCCTTAAAGACCTCTCCCTGATTAGGTTGTGTCCCAGGAGCAGGATTTCAGGACGAATGTAGAAGCAGGGGAGGGGGTCTGGGGGCAGGAGGGGACTTCCAACGAGGGGACTTCCAACTAGGTGACGCCGCATGAAGAGACCCCGCCTTCTCCCAGACTCTGTCTCTCATGCTGAGTTGTAGCCACAAGCATTATTACCACAACTATTTTGGGCTGGCATCTTCAACCTCCAAAAATAGGCTGGGAAGGGCTGCGCTTAGGAGCCACACCCTTTGGCGGCGATGGAATGTTTCTTCCCTGTCAGGGATGACTTCAGTTCAAACTTCGTCACGCGCCCAGAAGGGCGTTTTCTGCAGTCCTCGACTTGCCTTACCGGTTTCCCACCTGAGGATTACTTCCCTTAAAACTACATTATTTAGTGTCTCGGCTAGTTCTTGTCCTGATGGAATCTTCTCACAGGTCCTTCATGGTCGTCATGGTTTAACTTTGCTGCTGATGGAGGTCGTGTTGGATTTCTTCAGGGCAGTCACGAGGGCTGGGCTTCCTTTCACAAAGTGAGGTCCACACGGTGCTTCATAGCAGACGGTCTAGCAATGGCCAACATTTAAAATAGGCTTTACATAAGAGGGTGATTTCTTTGATCTTGGTCTATGAGTTAGTTCATTGTGAATAGGATGAACTTCACTATATGTATATTAGTATAGTTGTTCTCTTAAGGACATAATTGAAGGGAAAATCAGAGTTTTATGTATAAGGAACTTTCTGCAGTACACATTCATTTTATTCTCTCTCTTTTAAATGGTTATATCTTTTCCTTCTATTTATTTACAATTGCTTCTCTTTATTCATAATTATACAGACTGTAATTCTGGTCACTTCTTGCATCCAGAAGTCTCATAACTCAAGGCATAGATATATACTCTATATGGATAGGGGCCCTGGTGGTGTAGTAGCTCCGGGCTGGGCTGTTATCCAAAACGTCAGCAGTTCAAAACCATGAGCCGCTCCGAGGGAGAAAGACAAGGCTTTCTACTTGTATGAGGAATTACTGTCTCCAGAACCTACTCTGCCCTAAATAGGGTGGCTATGAGTTGGCACCCACTCGATGGCAGTGAGTTTGGTTTGGGGCCCTGGATGGAGTTCAAATTATAGCCGCTGCAGAACTGACCTGTGTGTGCATGTATTATGTTGACAAAAGTTACCAGTCTGTTGAGGGACATTAGTTTCCTCCCCATTCTATGTGACATGTCAGGTTTCAAGGATCATAACTAATTGTGAGGACCATGTTCCAAAACAAAATTGTAATGAAAAGGAATGGTGAATCATGTTTGGAAACTTTCCACACTGAAAATCGGGAATTCAAAGAAGGTGTGAATGAATGACCAACTAGCGTCTCATCAGGACTCCGATCATCTGAGTTACCAGGGTCACAGTGCTCGTCCCCATTCTGTCCTCTGTAGCCCCTGTGCTCTGATTCCCAGCGTGCACACGTATCCTGACAAAGCTGATAGAAATGTTGCCTCTTGCATCTCCCCAGCCCCTCAACTCACGTGCTCCTGCCAGGCTGGTTGGGGAGGACAAGCCAGACGGAGAGGTCTCTGAGTCTAGTTAGGGGCACACTGCTTGAGCTACGGTCTGGCTCCCCACTTTCCACTGCGCCAGCTGACGTGTGCTGTGGACAACTCGTCACTCAGTGTCCCAGCCTCGCGTGGGTGCCCACTGGAAAACTAGCTGTCAGGAAGGGCTTAATGGAGCTGATAATAAATGAGGTCTGCCAGAACCCTCGGGATTGACGTTTTGTAGTTTAAAAAAAAATCAGAAATACATTCTTTTACATTCCCACGGCTCTGGCTGCTGGGCTGCTGACCTTTCGAGAAGTGATGTTTTGCTTGGGGGTTTATATACAAGCAACCCTCCCCCCCCACACACACACACAGTTATTTAATCTTGATTAAGGAGGAATGAAGAGAGAGAAATGAGATAACCTACGAAAACAGTTGATTCATATCAACTGCTGTACTGATTGATGGGTTTTTCCTCAGGGAAGCCACATAATGGAGGCATTATTTTCCTTTGAGTGTATTCTATCGCTGTGACAAGCCAAGTTTAATAAACCTTCCCTCCCCCCTCCCTAAACTGCTCCCCGGATTCTTAAACATTTGTCATCCGATGATCCATGATCCGGTTCTGCGGATGGGCAAGGGCCTTCCTGTCCTGTGTTTTGCTTCGTGCCCTCTCGGCTGGGAGGTGGCAGGAGGAAGGGGAGGAGCTTCCGGGGAGTATGCACCTGTGAAAGGTTCGTGTCTTCGTTGAAATGACAAGCTACCGAACAGGTTTTCAGCCTTCTCTTCACAACCAGGCTCTCCCCACCCCACCCCGCCCCTCCCTTTCTTTTCTGCTTTAGAGCGTGGGCCACGGCTTCCGTCTCCTTTTCTAATCTACTCGTTGGACAAGCCCTGCTTTCAACTATCCGAGAACAGCGCAGACAGAGCTGTCACTGGATGCGCCATGCCACGGAGAAGTGCCTCCATGGGGCACTGCCAGGAATCCCATTCACGCTGCCGGGGCACCACAGGCCCTTTCTAGGGCCCGCCTCTCCCTCACCCTCTGGGGGTGGAAGCCCGCAGGGCCGGGGTGGGAATCCACTTGTCAGACTGCGAAGGGGCTGTGCGGCAGGTGGATGACATAAGCACACCTCCCGCCCCACACAGCTCTGTCTGTAGCAGAAAACAGTCCGTCTTTGTGCGGGACAGTGGAAGTCCTTTCACAAGGGCCCTTTGTCCACCTGGGGGCCTGGTGCATAAGGCCCTGGTGGCACGTGGATCAAGCACTCGGCTGCGAACTGCAAGGTCAGTGGTGCCACCCTCCTGGCTGCTCCACAGGAGACAGACAGGACAGTCTGCTGCTGTACAGGTGTCCCGTCACCCTTGGAAGCCCAATGGAGATGTTCTACCATGGGGGGGGGGGGCAGGGGGTGGCCATGGGCCTTAAGATATTCTAATCACTTCAGCCACAAACAGACTTCCATTCTCCCTCCTGGTTTTTATCCTTCTAGGGGCTGCTGAAGCAACCCTGGCAGTGTAGTGGGTTACGCATTGGGCTGGCAACTGCAAGGTCTGTGGTTCGAACCCACCAGTCACTCCAAGAGAGCAAGATGAGATTTTTCTGCTTCCATATAGATTTATAGCTTTGGAAACACAGAGAGGCCGTTCTACCCTGTCTCCTAGGGTTGCTGAGAGTCAGAGTGGACTTGATGACCATGAGTGAGAGGCCATTGGTAGACTTTGCCGCACAGAGGCCAGTCCAGGATGGCCCTGACCATGATTCTAACGTCGATCCCTGTCAACCTGGCTCTAGAGAGATTTACTTGAAATTTGCCTCTTAATCATCAAGAGAGTGTGAGTTTCTCTTGGACAATTAATAATGGCCTAAAAAGCCTAACTGGCAAGCTCTTATTCTCCAACCCAGGGGCCGGCCAACTTTTGAGAATGAAGAGCCAAACCTGTCCCTCGCCGTCATTAATAAATGATTCACAAGCCATAAGTGTATTTTCACAAGCAAATGAAATCATCATGATTTGAATAGTATCCTTGAAATGTTCTCAGCTTTACCTCAGAGGCACATAAGGTGTACAGGCCGCAGTTTGCTGAGCCCTGCTCTGCCTGTTGTTTGCTGCCCTCTGAGCTGCCCACATGCCCGAGGACTCCTTGTACCGGGGAGCAGAGGGCAGGCCGGTCC